CCTGCGCTCTCGGTGAGGCAGTGGGTGCTGCTGCTGACGTGCGATGAAGGTGGTGCCCCACACGGGACTGCTGTGGCTGTTTCTGAGCCAGCCCACAGGGGGGGAGGACGGGTACGGGGTGCTGCGGAAGCCATGGTCGGACTCTGTCTCTGCAGTGAGAGATGAGGCTGAGCTCCCCATCACCACAGTGACAGGGAATAAGTATCTCTGATAGTGGGGGTCAGTTTGTTTTGGTTCTCCCTAGAATGCAGAACTTGACAAGGAATCCACAGTTCCTTTCCAAGAGAAAAACACTGAGAGACCCTGACGAAAGGGGTTGTTTAGACCACAACAACAACCTTTATCATGTAAAGCTTCCTGTTGACAGATTTTGAAGAATTTTCTTCTGCCAGAATCTAAGACAAGGGTATTTAAAGAACTTGCAGGTGGCTAGAGATGCAGATCAGGTTGGATATCCCACAGTTCACAGGGGGAGAAGTTCTCAAATCAAATAGTAATTGGACACCTGGAGAGCTGATTCAAATTCAGCAGTGGGTCTCAGAGAGAAGAAAATACTATTTTCTCACAGCAAAGTTTTGTAATTCTCTCTCTTGTAGACTTTAAACTTGTAACACTCTCCTCCACGTCCTGTGTATTGCCACTCATATTTCCTCCCACATTCCTAGTGACACATCTTCCAAGTCTGTGCAGTCTCATGCCTGCTTCATCCTTCCTTCACTTGAAGACAACTTCCAGGAAATGTAAGGTTCAGAAACTGTAACATGGTGATCCATAGAGACAGCTGATCGTAATCAATGGTGGCATAGAGCTCATGATAGAAAATATGTCCAGAGTTATTTACAATGTGGCAACTGGAGGGAATTAATACATTGCATTTCCTGGGAAGGGTGTTGGCAAAACTACAAGCATGCTAATATCAAAAGTCTCATCTTTCAGTCTGGGTAACAGCTGCTGAGGAAGTTTACCACTGAAAAACCCCAGCTTCACTTCTCCCACTGGAAAAATACTCATGTTTAGAGAGGGATTTTAAGAGAACATAGACCACGTCTGCCAAACGTTTTATCGTTTTAGAAAAAAAAAAAAAACTCTCGTGTTTGACTGTAAATTAAGAGTAAACCGGATAAAGGGAGGTGGGACTTTTGCTCTTTAAACTTAAGCTGCCCCAGCTGTTGGTTCTGCGTAATATCCGACAAAAAAACCCAAGAGGAATGCTCCGTTTCTGGCTGCAGAGCTGGAGATGGTCCTGGATCCTGCTGTCATAAAGAGAAGCAGCTTAATTTCTGTATGATCCCACCGCCGATGCCGGTCAGTCCAGTTCATCAACTTGCTCTGGGATTTAAGTGGACTTGCTGGTCTGTCATAGCAAGTCTCAACTGAGACAGCTGACTGAAACAGGAGGGTTTGAAACCACATTCACATGCATGTTGACAAGTATCGACGGCTTGTAAAACCCTGAGACAAAAGTCAAATAGCAGAAATATCCCGTTGTGTTGTTGTTTTTCATTAAAACCATCTGATTATGATCAAATCAACGCAAAGATCACATGGAGCTTAAATTACAGCTTCCAGAGAACGTTACATGATAATTATTAATAACGCCAGCGCATGTTGTTGTTTAACTGAACCTAACAGGAGCACTGCAAAGCATTACTTGTATAAAAAAAGGGATTGTGTGTCCATTTCCACATAGCGTTACAGAGGCCAGGGAAGGTCTCGCACAGGAAACGTCAAAATATCCACGGAGGAGCAGCACTTAATTTGCTAATTTGCCCATCTTCCGGTCGGTCCACCCCAGCCTGCGTTCATCTCATATTTCCACGCCTGTAGATGCTAAAGCCTTGTTGTTCTCACGTTAACACACATCCTCGCTTCGGTCCCGGTTTCGCGTGCTCATAGTGCAAACCGGTCCAGCGCAGGAGAGCTGTTTGGATTGCTCCATTGAGGTCTCATTATGATTTGTTATCCTCCTACTTCTGTTGCCGTTGTATGTCTTTTCCACGGGCTTTAATTCTCCCTCACTGATAGCGTGAGCGCAGTGCACGGGGATGCAATCTCCTCCTAACAGCGGATTACTGGAGTGTCAGCAGAGCGCATGCGCACTGAGACCCGGTGAGAAGCGAGGGAGAAACTGGGAGGCTGCATTCAAGAGATTTCAATTTTAGCCTCATAGTATAGATCTCGATTGTTATTGTCAAGAGTTTACCACAAGTTGTGGAATGTAAGAGGCAGCATTGGCAGGATGAGGCATGTTCATTTCAGTGGAAAATATTTCGCAATAAAACATTTTTTTATCATACATAAATGACTAATAACATAAATCTCCCTGCTCTGTATCCTTTTTGAAGAAAGAGACAATACATCAGGCAGCTCTTTTCACGGTCAATGCCAGAGAAGGGAGTGGGTGGTTAAGTAGAAGATGGTTGTGACTGTAACACTCACCACTGCTCAACTGTCCCTCCACATTACTGAGATAAGCCTTCAAACTTTCCCTTCTCCTCTTCCACTTCACATCACTTTGATGACCTCTTTTCTGATCTCTCATTCTAGCCCACTCCAAATCCACAGTAATCACCAGCAATTATAGAGCACAGGACTGACCATAACATGAGGATACTCATATTTTTCTATATGCATTCTCTGTAGCATAGAAAGCAAAGAGCGAGCTGTGTAGCATTAGCATTTCTCTGGGACTTGTCTAACCAGGTTTATGGGACAGCTGCAAGGGTGTGTGCTTCATTCACAGCTCAGAGCATGACTCCTAGTTCTTCTGTTGAAACCGTGCAGTAAGTTCATGGCTGGGACTAAAACTGGTTTGTCTTGTTGACTTGACTGCACAGCCTGAAATATGCAACACAGATGTGGATGTAGTCCTGAGTCATAGGCTACCACTGCTAGAGAGCATGGCTGGAGCCTTCAACAAAGTCGCCTGACATAGAAAGTTTAAAGAAGAAACAGCTTCCCTTAGTGATAGTTGAATGAGTTACAAAACTGATTTTCAATGTTTAATAAATAGTACAATCAGTGGAGTTTGAGGACTTTGTTAGTTTGAGAGTGATTTATGTATTTAAACACATACACAGGCTTTTAGCAGCAGGGGAATCATATTCTCAGTCATTTTTCTGAGATGAAATTTAACAGACTTGAATCTTAAGTACTATCTCTCACAATGCGTCAACCCTTTTTTCCTGTTTTTTTTTTTTTTTTTTTTAAATAGAAGTGGTGCAGCTGTTGTTATTCACATATTCCTCATACATAAATCCAGCATTATTTTTTACTTATTCATATTACTTTTAGTCTTACTCTATAATCATACATATATAAGATTTTTTATTGTGTGCATGGCTTGCTGTTAGCTGTCACTATTTTACTGTTCATGTATTTGTTATGGCCCTATTGGTAAGAATATAGGCATAGTATTGCATGTTACGATAGATAGATAGATAGATAGATAGATAGATACTTTATTGATCCCGAGGGAAATTCAAAAGGCCAAAGTCAAAGGCATGAATGAGCAGTCATATTAAAAAAGCTTACATATTGTGACTGTGGGACAATTACAACTACAACAAAATACAAGACCCTACACATAAACCACAACAGAATCACAGGACTGCAGCCCTTTGTTGAGGGTGCACCTGTCCAAGTGCCACCTGTCCCTCTGCGAGGCAGCACCCACAGATCCAGCAGCTGACCGCACCAGTGCCAGAGAGCTTCGGAGGAAGTGAGATTGGATTTGGTTTCTATTCTCCAGGGACACAGAGGGTAAGAAGGGAAAGGGAGGATGTGATCTGATTTCACGGTATATTGTAAGTTGACATTTATACACCATCCAAAAATGTCCTGACTCTCACAAATGCTGTTTTCCTCTCCATTGGGAAAAGCTCCAAGCAGAACACAAATGATCAGACCAGGGGTTCAACTTTTCAGCTAATGACGCCCAAAATAAGGAAGCCAGAGACTGGGGACCCCCACTGTCCCTTGATTATGGCATTTAACTTTGAGCACAGCCACGCCTATCACTAATAGGCCACTCCAAACACTGGTAACAAAAAAGAACACAAAATAATACAACAGACTAAAACCCATAGAATTATTTTACAGAGTAATTTATTTTAAGAAAGGCTAGAAGCGGAAGTTATTACCATGTATAGACTAGCACTGAGTGGACATACAAAACTTAATAAAAAGATACACAGGTGTGTGCATCTTTATATCTCAAAAGCACAAAACACCTTCATTGTTGCTGTCATGTGCAGACTTACAATTTTACGTTAATTTCATTTCACTTAATAATGTGGTTTTATATGAAATCAAACTACTTTTTTGTATATATATTTTTTCAATAATTGGTCAAATATAGCCTACCATTTGAAATGTTCCATTTTGCATTATCTTTTTGAAAAGGGGTATCACGACCCCCCTCTTGGTTGCCCCACTTGGGAAACTACTGGATTAGACAACACTGCAAGTTCACTATCAAGAAAATAGTGCACGCACTTTGGTCTCTAGTGATGTTGCTCTTACAGTAGACAAGCTAAGTTCAGGCCTCAGGTAGCACATATAAATCTGCTGAATAGCGAGCAAGTTTGTGAGTCCCCTAACATCTTTAAATACAATCTAACTGACATAACCCTTTGACCTGTCGGACTCCTACAGAAAGCCTACCAAATGAAAACATGTCCACGTTGTTTTGACCTGTTTAGTGCAGTGAGCTGGTGGGAATAAAACAAACTCACGAGCTTTCATTTGAAACCACGTTCACATAGTGAACATGGTCATATAATCAATCTATTTGTGGTCAAACTGCCACCAACACTAACATTAGCTAGACAGCGGAGCCAAATGAAAACTCTCAACAATCCCATTGAGACAGAACGAGACGAGGACACCGGGGACCTTGTAAACAAAGACACTCTTACACAATCGTTTAGTCGACGTTATCGTCGCTAGCCCAAGGTTTCGTACTTCCTGAAGTCCACTCACATGTCGGTAATTCTTACCTCAAGTCGCTTCAAGGAGAATGATTCCTGTTTTTCAGCCGCCTGTGCGTTAACTTTTGGTAGCCATCAAGACGACAAGTTGCTCCTGGGTTGGACTTTAGCCTCAGTAACCTGCCCGGGCTCTCCGCCGCCGCATGTCTCCTACATGTGTGACAAACACGTACGTGGACAGTTTATTTCTACTCCGTGGGGGAATTAATGAGACTGATGCGATCGCGTACGTTTACCTCAAACAGCCCAGGAAGGAAGGGGAATCTCCAAGGAGCAAATAGAAAGCATACGTACGTCAAAGGCGTAGTCACGTATAGTCTCCTGCTCTCCAGCGTCACTGAATGTACGTTACAATTATTCAGGAATGGGAGGTTACGAAACTACATTTCCCATGATCAACACGGATATTTTTTAACCAAGGATATCCGGGTATGAATGTCACCACAGTGAAACACAAATACGATTCAAATACATATATTTAGCCCCACAAAATAAATGAAATTGAAAAGTGACATAGTGAATTCCATTAAGATTAATTTGAAATAGGAAACCCTTTTCTTGGTTTGATGTAAATCTCTCCAATCTTTGTAGATTGCCGATTAGCTACCCAGGTAAGCTAATGTCAGATAGTGGCACTCTAGCGTCATCTAGTGGATTTACAAATGATTTGAGACAGATTAGGAATTTACTGTCACCCATGTGTTGTTCAGGATGTAAATAAATAAAAGAAAACATGTGTATCATCTAGTCTCCCTAACAAGCTCCTTATAATATGTTTTTGAAGTGAAATCTAGTATTATTTCTTCCATCAATGGCGATACTAGACAATAAAGACAGAGAAGCCTACTTATTTGGCTTAATATTTGCATTCAATATTAATTCCTGTACAAATGTTAAATTTTGATGTAGCCTATATTTTTGTGTAAATGGGTTAGCTTTGATATATTTGTAAATATATCAATATCTCAATATCAGATGTTTTTGATATAGGATCTCATATAGGATCATCATCATAATTACTACCTGCTTATGTCTGATGCTGTAAGTAACAGGTATTATTTCTCTTTGATCTATTGTGTTATCAACTTTGGGCAAATGCAGGCCAAAATGCCATTTTGCCCTATGGGGGGAATTTATTTATTTATTTTTAATTTTGTAGTTTATTTTCCCCAAAACAGATCTGCATTATTACTCTGCTGATTTAATCATTCATGTCTCTGTCTGTCTGTCTGTCTGTCTGTCTGTCTGTCTGTCTGTCTGTCTCTCTGCCTGTCTCTCTGTCTGTCTGTCGACCTTGCAAAATAACAAAAAGAACCAAAACTAATGTTTAAAATGAATCTTGTAGGCTATAGTCTCTAGTGGCCATTGGAATTCATAGGCTACAATGTTATAGCTACATATAGGGAGTACTTGAATATTGCTGTATGGATTGTGTTTGAACTTTTTTTCAGCTGATTCAGTGTCATTCTTGTTCCTCATAGGGACTTTTATTTTTCAAATAACTTAAAAAACCCAGGATAAGGCTTTATCAAATCCAATCACAAGACCTCATTGCAAAGATTTTCCTAATTTGAACTTTATTTTAAATTAAAATGTAGTCTCTACTGCTCCCTCAAACAATACAGACCGCCCTATTGAGAATTAAACCTTTTTTTATTTTATTTTTTTACCTAATGTAGACTAATAGTCTCATATTTCTTAAAAGCCCCAAGAGAAATGTAAATTTCAGCAGGACCAAAGAGTAGCATGTGAAACTTCTACTGAGTTTGGATTATCGTTAATGCCGGTGTCACCCGGATTGTTTGAACCAGGGAAATTCAAAGGATTAGGCTTAGATCAACATGCTTGGTACAGCTGGATAATGAGACACCTTGGCGAAATAAAATAAAAACCACATTATTGTCTTATTAAGATGTAGTGTGCACGATCGAGCAAAAGAAGATAGCCTATCTGGACCCAGTTTGCCCATCATGGCATGAGAAAATACTCTGCAGTAGATCACATAGGGACTTATTGAGCACTTTAAAAACCAATGTTTTGTGTTGGATCCTTTATGGAACTTCAAAAAATAAGTTAGCAAATCAGTATAAATATGTGATCTCTTGTTAAAAAAAACCCCACTCCGGAAACGGTTTACCATTGGTCAAGAGGCACAATCTGTATAAGAGATTTATCTTCAGAGCTGAGTGATTGAGGCGGAGCAAAGCATCCTTTGATAGAGGCAGACTGAAGAGTTCAGAATGAGCCTGGGCGGAGAAAGTTACAGCTGGACGGTCTCTCACATGTCGTGCAGTGCTTGTGTTTAAAGGATACATACTTTTAGAATAAGGTTAGTACCGACATTACAAATCATTAGGCTACTTTTGAGCAGGGCGTTAAGACGTCAAGAAGCTAATTGGCGTCAACATAGCACGACACGGTACTGGACCTCACGGACAGAAAAGGTTTCTCCATAAAGAAGGTATGTGAGTGAAGAGATTTTGTGCTCTACTTTTTTTCTTTCATTTGACACTTGTGCACTTGCTCTTGAGCGAAATAAGAAAAGTTCAGCAGTAACGTTTATTCCATTAATTGTTTGAAGCTAACTTTTCTGAAAGGTTGCTAGCTAACACTGTTCACTCCACACATTGTTTTCAGTGTCGGTGCGCACACACTGTTGTCATGACAATGCTAGGGAAACCCAGCGCGAGGCACGTTGAGAGACAAAAGACACCAAAAGACTTTCTCAACAAATAAAAGTCACCTTAGAGTTTACCCAAAGTCCAAACCAATCCTAGAAATAGTATGTTAATGTTATTCTCTGTAAGTATCTTGGCATGAAGTTATGAAAGAAAGGCTGCTTCATAGCTTTTGTAATCCGTGTCAGTGGACAGAAGAGCTCTATAAGGGGGTCATAAGGATATGAAAACTGTTGAGCTAAGGTGTGTCCTGTGTTTATATGAGACAAATTGTGACCCTGCTAGTCAGGAAAGGGATGCTTTTAGTCGGCTCTTGGCTGTTTTATGGCCAACACATATGTGGAAATGACAGGCTTCCACAATAGAGATTCAAGAGAGTGAATAACACAATTGTCTTAAGGGGAAAAAGGAAAAAGATGTGTGTAGGTGGGTCGATGAGGAGTGGGAAACGCTTGCATGAGTGACAAAAAATGTGTGTCATTGTGTAGTTGACAGGAAGGTGGGATCAGGGTCACTTTGCATGGTCATGGACTCATGTGAGGACAGGAGGGGGCACAAGGGTTGTGGAAAGTGTGTGTGTGTGTGTGGAGGGGGGTATTTATGTCACTACTACAGATGTTATCACACATCCAAACAAAGTAAATCATGCAGCTGCTAGAATTAGATCAGCCAATGTTGACCAGGATAAGCCCTCCACTCGGATGACTCATGATTATACCTGTTTACAATCTTGTGCAAGGGAAGTTTTCACAACTTCAGATGCCAAAAGATGACATGGACTATAGTTCAACACCAGCAAAATATCCTGATCAGCATCCACTCGGTGCTCATACATATAACAAAAAACGGCCAAAAAAGGAAGATTAACACATCAAAGCAAGCCTCCTGATCCGATTAATTATTCCAAGGAAATGTTTTACATTTCTAATAATTTATATCTTTAATGATGATAAGAACTAACATTCAAACTTATAAGTAACACCTTTTTATGAGCGGAATGCTAATATTTGGTCTTGAAACAAGGCTTTTTAAATTGTTAGGTCTAAAGAAAACGGTTGTTAAGAATACTTATTGCAGTGCCCTGAGTCCAGTAAAATCTAATTTAGATATCGCTTTTTTATTAAGCTAAAAGCCCAAATCCCAAAGATATTCAATTTATATGCATTAAAATGACGACTGTCTGCATTAACTACTTAATCCATAATAATTAAGGTCTGAAATGAATGAATTTATTTTCAATAATGGCAATAAATCTAAAAATAAAATAATTGTGTTAAACAGTATTTATTATTTCCATGTGTTGTCCACTTATCATGATGGTATTCTTGTACAAAAAGTTTTTACAATGGGACTACACAAGTGTAGATCCTTTAGACTATGGAACTGGGAAATGTATTTTGAACAGTTATTAATAATAGAAGCATAAAGTCTTTATGCTAAACTGATTTAAAGCTATAAGGCAGATCGGTTCAAGTTTAAATGTTAAAAAAATACATTATTTAAAGCAATCTTTTCATCTATACACTGAAGATGAAATTCAAGATCCACAACATTATGTTTGGGAACACTAGCAATTAATCACAGTGACAAAATGACTGTAAATAAATTATGTATTCAAAGAAAATATACAGCAACATATTACTGCATTGATTATTTGTCATGCCAGTGATCTATATCAGCCCTCCAGTTCTCCGTGTGTGTTGGGACATGCAGCCGCTTCGTCACAGTCTGGCTTCCACCCGCAGGGCCTCACAGCACTCTGACAAATTCACATGAATAAAGACACACACACACACACACAGTAATGCACGCGGGGCAACATGAACAAACCTACATCAAAGATACATCTGTTTCATATGCATGTTTGATGGTACAGGAAAGCAGCGGCTGGCCACTGCTCCGAGTTACAGCATGGATTAGTATGCATGACTAGGTGGTAGAGAAGTGGTGTAAGTGAAGGATAGAGGGTGTATACAGTACAGGTACACGAAGAGAGAAATTAAAAATGAGGAATGTGTGGAACATTTTAATATTCTGATTTAAATGAGAGTTAAAGGACATTTGGGATAAAAAAAAACAAAAAAAAAACAGGTGGTCATTGAAGAAATAATTTGCAAGTATATGATGATCAAAATAAATTCACTGTTTAGGCTAAGTAAATGAAGATCTGGATTGAGCTGCAGCGTGTCATAAAGTTGAGACATTATCCAGTTTATAACTCTTACATATGCCCCTGCTGTTTGATGTATTGTCAGCCTTTTTAGCTCTTAGCAGCTGTTAAGCCCCCTTTGTCTGGTTGTCAGTCTGTTGCCCGAATCATTGTGTGCCATTGTTACAAAAGCTGTATCAGGCTGTTTCCCTGGCAGAGATCAAACCCAGAGCAAGGGCATGTCAGAAGTTACTTAGTTAACTGTCACCCTTTATGTTTGTCTGCATTTTGTAATCTTAAAGAAGATTTAGTTAAGGTAGTTCAGTTCTGTTTGCCTGATCAGACACTCTTACTTAATGTTGAGTCGTATTTGATCATTGGTATAATCTGTGTGAAAGTGATTAAACTTTAATGTCAGTAAAATGGCTAATTTAAGTGTCAAAATGGTCAAAAACCTCCAGAAATTAAAACCAAAATGAAATAAAGACGAGAAAGCA